TTTTATTTTGGATTTTTTTTTCACATCTCTTTTAAAAGGCAGAGACAGTAGTGGAACCTACAAATATATAGGTCTCTCAGTGTTATGTCTGATTCCTGCTTGGCATCTAACCCCACCGCCCCCAACCCCAATCCCAAGAAAGTATATTTACCATCTGAATTGAAATCCTATACTCTTTCTGCTTTACTGTTTCGAAGAGTGTGTGGTGTTATTAACACACCATTAAGCATCAGAAGATTTGAGCATTGGCTCTGCCACTTGCTAGGTTGTCATAGCTTCTTAGATCACTGTGTAACTTCATTAAGCCTCAGTTTCTCTTTTTTATTATATATGTTCCACCTCCTGCCCAGGAAGCTACAAGGATTCAGTAATATAATAGATGTGAAAGTGTTTTCTAAAATGTAAGTTTATGTTTTTATTGTAATTATTTCCACCCCATATTGTATCTGTCCTAAATCAGTTAAGTCAATATTTATTAAGTGCCTCCTGTGAGGAAAATTAGTAAGAATTTCATAAGTAGTAACCTACGAGATTTATATAAAGTTAAGTGTTAAGTATCATAAGAATGATATAGCCTAAACTTCTGTGAAAGTTCAGAAGGATTATTTTCAGCTGGAGGCATTTAGTATCAGCACTATATTTCTTACATTTTTTCATTGGCAATTATGTATTTTCAAAATCATTCCTGGATTTAGGCAAAGTTGTTCCATATTATTGTCAGCCTCATTTGATTTTTATTCATAAAAATACTAACTTTATTGTTTTCTGTAATTTAGTAAGTACTTCTTTTTTTGTTTATTTTCTAAATGAGTAACTTTTGGTATCATTTGCTAATTTAATGGATTTAACTTCACTTCCATCTTCTGGTTCATTAAGAAAGATTATCAGATAAGTTTTGATTCAGGATTCACTATTTTAGGATACTTCTTAAAATATTCTTCAGGATTTACTTTGATACTTTATATGTAGCTTTCCAGTAGTGTGTGTTCATCCAAAAATGCTTGTAATTTATTCCTGAGAATTGTGTGGAGTCTTCCCTGAAACTCAGACTATACCTATTCCTTATTCTCATCCTTTAGACCTGACAGTCCAGCATAGGACACTACTTCACAGAGCTTTCCACGTTGCCCATCTTCTTGGTCTCTTTGAATGGGTTAAGATTTAAGAGCCATCTGCCTGTAGGATTGGCTTCAGTGCTTTCCTTGTTGGCAGAGTCAGGTGTATTTATCTCCAATTGTTAGTCATCATGTCTGTTTTTTTTTCCCCTCTTAAGATTAAGCACTGATATTTATTCTTCCTTTAGGTTTTCAGGAGCTTCCTATGAGTGCTGCATATTCTTAGTCCTGGTGATCTGGCTTCAGCAGTAGTTACTAGGTTATCTTGAAAGAAAACTAAATCATTTTTCAGTATTCAGCTAAATATAAAATGGTTGATGTTAATTATCTGTTTTAGTTATTTTTATTTAGATGGTGGTTTTAGCATTCATAAGATATGCATGAAACTGTTGCTGTCAGAGCAGTGTGCAATGTGGTGAACATTTGCTAGACAGTGCCTTGCCTAGTTAGGGCACTCATCTGCTGGTTGAAGGAATGAATGCACTTTTACCTCTTTAGGCCAGAGCTGGTGTTAGTCTGAAATCTGCTGCTGTTCCTCCCTTCCTTTTGTTTAGGACTAGCAGCTCCTCCTTCAGTGCAAATAACTTAGATAACATTGATATGTTTTAGAGAGGAAGTATGCATTTATTTGTTAGACTCTAGGTAGCAAAATTGATAGGTCTTTTGTTATTTTTCTGAGTCTGTAGTTAATGTGGATATTAGGGGTAGGAAAGATTTATGTGAAAATATTGATATCATATTGACATTAAAACTTGTTTTAGTTTCCCATATTGTAATTTGTACAGTAATTTCATATAAAAGTAATAAAAACTAGAAATTAATGAAAACCACTATTAAAAAAGCCATCCTTAATCCCACCTCCCAGTAATAATAGTTTATAATCTCTGTCAGTCTTTCTAAATAGACATGTTTAAGTCTGTTAACCAAATTGTCACATTCAGCATTGTACATCTTTGTTTTTTTTTAAATACTTAGTTGGACACAATACCTTTGTTTTATTTATTTATTTTTATGTGGTGCTGAGGATTGACCCCAGGGCCTTGCATGAGCTAGGCAAGCATTCTACTGCTGAGCCACAACCCCAGCCCCAAGCATTCCACATCTTTAATACCATGTATTACTTTATCAAAGAACCAAAGTTCACTGCAATGCAAACAGCTATTTTTTGTTTTTGTTACTTTGGCACCAGAGGTGAATTCAGGGGCACTCAACCACTGAGCCACATCCCTAGGTCTTTTTATTTTTTGTTTTGAGATAGGGTCTTGCTAAATTGCTGAGGCTGGATTTGAACTTACAATCCTCCTGCCTCAGCCTCCTGAGCCGCTGGGATTACAGTTGTATACCACTGCTCCTGACAAACAGCCATCTTTTTATAAGAACATTTATATTTTTACATATTATGTTAGTGCCTTAACAAATGTTATAAAAATTTCATCTCCAATCAGAGGACTTTTAACTATCTCTGGTGACACCTGAGTCACCATTGAGTAGAACAGTCAAAAACAGGTTTGAAAGTCTCCATGTGGACCTTTGATCTTGTGTTTGAGTGGCTTCAAATGTGCTGTAATGTCTATGCAGATACCTTTTGTTAGTTGATGTGAGTTGCCAATTTCAGTTTAGTGTAATTCATCATGTTAAAGAATTAAACTGGGAAATAGTTGTTCACTTTGTGTAATTTTAGAGCATTGTTAATACTCAAGGTTTTTTTTTTTTTAATCCCCCAATTGCCTAACACATGCTTTCACAGTCACTTCATTTTTCAGCAGTGATGGCATCCTGTCAGTTCTGCCTCTAAAATCAGTCTTCCCTATGACTCCACCTCTATGACCTTGAAGTTATGGCCTTGTTTCAAGTTTTAATTTCTCTTTAGAATATTCTAGAAGATGCTTGACTGCCTGTATTTTCCCCCTTCCTTCCTGTTATAATGCTGTAATATTTTCTACCCATGCATGAAGTTTCTTACCTCCTTCTCTTCCTTTATTGTTTTTAGCAAAGTATTTTAGAAAATTTGAAAACTGCATGTTCATAGAAAATGAACTTTATTGTATAGAAATGAGCATTATGTGTGTCTTTTTTTTAACACTTGTTTTTGTTCGTGGGTGCTGTGTACATGCACGTGTGTGTATTAGCCTTTTGAAAATCTTGATATTATCATGTGGGATTAGGCCCCAACTTCCTTAATAAGACTCCAATAGTGCAAGAATTAAGCCAAAAATCAATAAAGGGGATGGAATCAAACTAAAAAGTTTCTTCTCAGCAAAAGAAACAATCTGTGAGGTGTTGACATCCAATTCGAGCCTACATCCTGGGAGCAAAGTTTTAYCCCTCATATATCAGATAGAGCACTAATCTCTAGGGTATATAAAGAACTCAAAAAGCTAAGCACCGAAAAAAAAAAAATAACCTAGTCAACAAATGGGCCAAGAACATGAACAGACACTTCTCAGAAGATGATGTACAGTCAGTCAACAAACATATGAAAAAATGTTCATCATCTCTAGCAATCAGAGAAACTCAAATCAAAACTACTCTAAGATATCATCTCACTCCAGTCAGAATGGCAGCTATTATGAAGACAAACAACAGTAAGTGTTGGTGAGGATGTGGGGAAAAAGGTACACTCATACATTGCTGGTGGGACTGCAAAGTGGTACAGCCAATTTGGAAAGCAGTATGGAGATTCCTTGGAAATCTGGGAATGGAACCACCATTTGACCCAGCTATCCCTCTTCTCAAACTATACCCAAAGGACTTAAAAACAGCATACTATAGGGACACAGCCACATCAGTGTTTATAGCAGCACAATTCTCAATAGCTAAACTGTGGAGCCAACCTAGATGCCCTACAGTGGATGAGTGGATAAAAAAATGTGGCATATATACGCAATGGAATTTTACTCAGCAATAAAAGAGAATAAAATCATGGCATTTGCAGGTAAATGGATGGCGTTAGAGAAGATAATGCTAAGTGAAGTTGGCCAATCTCCAAAAAACAAATGCCAAATGTTTTCTCTGATATAAGGAGGCTGATTCATCTTGGTGTAGGGAGGGGGAGTATGGGAGGAATAGATGAATTCTAGATAGGGCAGAGGGGTAGGAGGGAAAGGGAGGGGGCAGGCGATTAGCAAGGATGGTGGAATGTGATGGACATCATTATCCAAAGTACATGTATGAAGGCTCGAATTATATGTCAACATACTTTATATACAACAGATATATGAAAAATTGTGATATATATGTGTAATAAGAATTGTAATGCAAAAAAGGAAAAAAGTACATGTATAAGGGCATGAATTGGTGTGAACATACTTTATATACAAAGATATGAAAAATTGTGCTCTATATGTATAATAAGAATTGTAATAATGCATTCCACTGTTGTGTATTTAAATAAAATAAAATAAAATAAAATAAAATAAAATAAAATAAAAATCTTAGTATTGCCTGGTGTGGTGGGGCATGCCTGTAAATCCTAGCAGCTCAGGAGGCTGATTCAGGAGGATCATGACTTGAAAACCAGCCTCAGCAAAAGCGAGGCACTAAGTAACTCAGTGAGACCTTGTCTCTAAATAAAATAAAAAATAGCGCTGGGGATGTGGCTCAGTGGTCGAGTGCTCCTGAGTTTAATCCCTGATATCCCACTTCCCCMCACACAAAAAAACCCCTAATATTTTGTGAACATTTTCCCATGTTTTTCTACATTTTTTTGCTCTGTAATACGGATGTATTATGATTTATTCTTCCTTGCTGGACACTTGGGTCTTTAGGTCCCTTCTTTGCCATGTAATCTTAACTCTTAGCATTATGTTCTTAGAATTTGGTACTTTGTCATGACAGGTTATGCTAATTGGTATTTTAATGTTGTATTTTTTCTTTTTTTAACAGGTAATGTGGCTTTAGATAATCTACAGATAAAAGAAAATGCTCTGGTAAGTTTGTTTTAAACTATGCTAAAAATTCATTTAATTTGGTAAGCTCTTAGAAACCTTTGGTTACTAGGCATCTGGTACCAGGTATAAGATAAAGTGATTGAGTCACTCAAAGCAAGATTACTTATTTAACAGTTAATGGAAAATTTGAGATTAAAGATTTGGAATATTTTTCCCCTAGTGATCAATATACTATCTTCGAAAATGCAGTGTTTTTTCTTGCCTTAATTTGACTATACAGCTTTTCAAGTCTGCATTTTTTTTTTTACAGAAACATTTTTCTTCAGAATTATCTTTTAAATAAGGGCTTGATTTTAAACAGTCTTCCTAGTCTTATGGTATTATGGTAATATTAAGAGCTAAAATAGTAATTTTACTCTGTGTCTTATACTTTGCGACATTTTCTGTTGAGCTAAAAACGAGACTCACCTTCTTCCCCATTAGGTTTATATTTAGCCTATATCTGTTTCTTTGTGGCTTAAATAAGATGAGAAGTTTAGCCTGGCACACAGTAGATACTCAAAATAATTTAAAATTTTCTTTTCTTCCTTTATATAGTATGTCACAACTTTTAAAATTTCCTTTAAAAATTTAGAACTCATGATTTTATTGCTAGAGTTTAGAATAAAGCTTATTTTTGRCAATAATTTATAAGAACATAAATATAAATAGAATGTGGGGACAGAGTATATATCACCTACTTAGAAGATAAATCCAACATTAGTCTGATTTGTGTTAGCCTAATTTGCATTTTGGGTATAATTAAATATTTTGTGATTTAATCTCCATTAATTGTCAAAATAGACTCCTTTCCCAATATAACCACATTGGTGAGGTTTTAACTTTGGATATGGGTTCTTTACATTTATTTGGTGTAAAAGTTATTTTAAGAGGCCAAAAATGAGCATGAAACCAGTTTCAGAAGTAGGTAGTTATGGTTTGTATCCTGTTTAGATTGAATTCCCTTGAATTTACCTTTTCTGTCTTCTGGGAGGGCAGAATTGCTCTTATTGCCAGTGAAGGGTTTTTGTTTGTTTTTTGGTCTAAAAAAGATTTTTCTGTTAAAAATGACTAGTATTTTGTTCAGTTCCCATTCATTTAGAATGCTCAATTAATCAGATTATCATGTAAATTGATTATTTTAGTTACTTGTATCCTAAAGTACTGTGTTTCTGTGGCCACATTTTCATATTACTTCCGTGTATTAAGGTAATGCCTATTGGGAAGTCTGTACTGACTGGTTTAGTTATTAATAATTCTGAAGACTCACGTGGTCTTTATGAATATCAGTTATTGTTTAGTATTCTGTGAATAAAAAAAAGTAATTTGAATTTTCTAATAGTTTGAATCTAAATAAGTGAAAATCTTTTATTATTGGTTCGTGTTTGTCTTCAGCTTACAGGAAATGCTAATTTGGTAAATGATATGTTGGGAATCTACCTTTACTTTAAAAACTTTTATTCTTTTAAGATATATTTGATTTGAGACAATTGTTCAKTTATTATAGCCAACTAATTTATGTGACAGTACTCTATTCCTTTTCTTGTTCTAGCATTTTGGATAAACAATGTTCCTGTGTTTAAGTTCGTGGAATTTTCATTTGTTTTATTAGAACAAGTAACCAGTTTATCCAATTACTTTATAAAACTACAAACTCTTTTCCATTTTTGTAAGTCAAAGTTTAATAAAACTCTTTGGCTATAAAACATACAGTTTATGAGTTATTCAAATATAGAGAATTTTTGTTTTGTTTTTCTTACTAGGTGAGTGTATTTAAATGATGATACAAAAAAATTTTTTTTTGGGGGGGATTGCTTAATAATTTAAGATGTCATTTACATTTTTTTCTTCCTTCTGAAGAGTGAATTGGATGTTCCTTTTAAAGTCAAGGCTGGCCAAATTGGTAAGTATTTCACTCTTCATTTGAATTATTATTAGTCCTTTTAGTCCTTTATTTTGCATGTACTGTTTAATCTAAGAAATATTTTTTAACTTGATTAAAAYATGAGAGATTTTTGGTTTATCTTAATTTTAGAGTTCTAAGCTTATATATTATACCTATATACTTCAGTATTTTTTTTTAAAGGGTAGAAAATCACCTTCTAAAATGAAAGGTATGTGAACTGCAGTCATGTTCTTCAGGCTTTGATTCTGCTGCACAAAATATGTTTTCCTTTTCAGAACTCATAACTTGTGTGCTTTTTCTGTATATGTGAGAGTAGAATAATTTGCAAACTCTGTTAAATAAACTTTAAAATATAGCTTGTTTTCCTCAAGTTTGTTCAACCATTTTCACTTAATATGTTATGCCGCAGTGTGGTATGGAGGATATATTTTGGTAAGTACAAAGTTTTCTTCTTTGCAGCTACACTCTTTGATTAAGACCATTGATACTAAACACATATCTTTGTAGAAGAAAGTTTTTAACAGAAAATTTAATTTACAAAGTTCTCCCAATTAGTTCATGCTGCCTGATTTTTTACTTAATGTATATCTCTCTATATGTAAACATAAATTACATAATTATAACCCTAAATAGCTTACTCTTTACAATTTTCACTTATACCATGTCCTTGATCCTACTATTATAGCACCTTGCTGTTATACCACATTGCTGCTCTTCTTGATTTAGTATTTTGAATTCTAGGAAGGCTTTGTCTTTTATACTCTTATCATTTCTTAGCAATTACATGGATACAACTGTTTGGGTCCATTTTACATAAATTACATGTATCCTTTTAATATAAAGGAACATGAGTTTGCTTTTGTCATTTGTAATAGAAGTCATTACCTGAAGTTGAAAGTATCTATGGGACATGTGCCATCTTTTTGTTTGTTAAGTACTGCCAACTATGGTAGTATTGTTCTAGTAGTGCTCTAGAAGTATTATTGTGGCCCTGTGTGCTTTATTGAAATCTTAGAGTATAGATGTTGTAGCCATTCATTCATTCTTTTACCTTTGAAATATTTATGCATACATGCTGAATATGTCTAATCAAGTACTGTGGGAGAATCAAGAATGAAGATGATGTCTTTGTTTTCAAGGATGTGATAGAGATCTAAAATTAGGACATATAGTAAAATTGTTTTTCCAGTGTATTGGATAAATTATAGTAGACTAAAGAAATTTTGCATTATTTACTATATTCTTATAATTAGATTTATATGTTGAAGGAGCTTTTCTAGTGGTTTAAATATGTTCTTATAACTTTTAAAGTATAATAAGGATTTAATAGCTTCTCCAGAGTTGCTCAGTTACAAGAGACCCATTACATAATAAGGGATGCAAAGCATATTCATCCTTTATCTTGGTTAATAGAGTGTTTATTTTTTTTATTTTTAATTTATATATATATATATAGAGAGAGAGAGAGGGGGAGGGGAGAGAATTTTTTAATATATTTTTTTCAGTTTTCGGTGGACACAACATCTTTATTTTATTTTTTATGTGGTGCTGAGGATCAAACCCAGTGCCCCTTGCATGCCAGGTGGGCGCATTACCGCTTGAGCCACATCCTCAGCCCTAGAGTGTTTATATTAGTTGTTGAATTTCTTCTCAGGTTAGAATATTATACCTCAGCTGTAGATTTTTTTTTTAACACAATGCCTTTATTTTTATGTGGTGCTGAGGATCAGACCCGAGTCCCGCCCATGCTAGGTGAGCACTCTACCACTTAGCCACAATCCCAGCCCCTCAGTTATAGATTTTTAAAGGGGCATTTCCCACTATTTCAGTCTTATGCTCATGGAGAAGGCAGTTAAATAAATGGTTACAAGATTATGAGATAATTACAGATTGTATCAGTTATAAATATATGCAATGCCTAGTATAAAACAATAAGAATTAGAAGTGACCCAAAAGTATACTAGTATTACCTCTAAACTCCCCTGACCTGGGAGCCATTTAAGAAACTCACCAGGTTTATAGGCTGAAATGAAAATAAAATCTAAATGGAGAAATAATTTGATATTTTAACCCTGGAATAGATTCCCAGGTAAAACTGTCCAGGTGACCAAAATACCACACTTTACATAGCATTATTTTATTTCCTTTTCATCTTTTTATATTGTTTATCAAGTCTTTGCACTTTGAGCATCTTCATTTAAAAATGCTAGTGTTTCTGGTAGGGTAAGTGACTTAGTCATTCACATACTAGCATGAATTGAATCAGATTCTGTTCTCCTAAAAGCCTTGATCATCAGCACTGAGAGAACTGCAGCTTTTATCATGTTATTTTTTTTACAGTTATGATATGGAAGGTATTTTACATTGGAATCTAAATAAAAAATGCAAAAGGGCTGAGGATATGGCTCAGTGGTTGAGTGCCCCTGAGTTCAATCCTGTTACCAAAATAAAACAAGCAAACAAACAAAAAAACAAAAACAAAACCATATAAAACTTCAAGGGTAGGAAAGGTTTGGACAGAATTCTCGTAGTAGTGTTGAGGGCAGACTGGGGGCTGCCTGGAGCTCTGGAAAGAGGGATAACTGGAGATGGGAAAGGATAAAGAAAGTACAAAAGACAGATTATTTTCCCTCTCAAAATTTAGCTGTATTCTCTTTTCTGTCCTTTTTTCTTTTTCCTATAGAACCCTAAATATGTAAATATTAGAGCCAGAGTTTATCTGCATTGTGACAGTTTCTGTGGACTCTTTCCTGAAGGGCCTGGTACTAATACTATTGTTTCTAAGAGAGAAAATGTGTTCTGCCTTTTAAGTGACTTATAAGTAGATTTTTGGAATRTAACCAGTTTGAGTTATGTAATAATAGAGTCATATTAATATAACACCATAAAACAGTTATGACTTTCTTTTAAAGCTCACCTCTTGCTGTCCTAGCAACTTTATATACTGTCAAAGATCTATTCCTTGGGACCCTTCTCTATGTTGCTACTTCAACTCCTGGGATCTTGTACACATATTATTTTTAGAGATTTAGTTGTTGTTGTGAATATAACTGTATATGCAATATTCAGATGAGTTCTGGTTCCAGCAAACCATATTTAGTATGTAATATGTTGTATGTAATATGTAATATTTAGCAGCCCCCAGTCTGCCCTCCACACTACTACTAGAATTCTGTCCAAACCTCTCCTACCCCTGAAGTTTTATATGGTTTTGCTAATGACCTGTGTGGACTTAAGCATATCAGACTAACCTTTCTGGGTCTGAATTTCCTTTTTTTGGGGGGAGAGGTACCAGGAATTGAACTCAGGAGCACTTTACCACTGAGCCACATCTCCAGCCCTAATTTATATTTTATTTAGAGACAGGGTCTCACTGAGTTGCTTAGTGCCTTGCTGTTGCTGAGGCTGGCTTTGAACTTGCCATCCTCCTGTCTCAGCCTCCTGAGCTGCTGGGATTACTGGCATTTGCCACCATGCCTGCTGAATTTCCTATTTTTCAAAATTGAAAAAATAGCCACTGCATTTATCCTTCAGTTTTGTAATATTAAATGAGATACTAGCTCTCAAAAAGTTTGGAGAGTATAAAGATAAAGCATAATGTGAATATTTACTTATAATGGTACTATTATATGGAAAATATCTTTGTTAACTTGAATCTTGGAGTCTTTTCATTTTTTTTCTGAGCAATGTAAACACAATATGCATGGAGAGTTTTGTTATACTTTTTCTTAATGGAAAGTAAGAAATTTATTATCTACTTGAGCAGTCAAATAAACATTTAAGATTGAAATTATATTTCTTTAGATAAATTAACTTTGAAGATTCCTTGGAAAAACCTTTATGGAGAAGCAGTTGTTGCTACCCTCGAGGGATTATACCTGCTTGTTGTCCCTGGAGCAAGTATGTCATTTTATGTATGTCAGTAACATCACAATGAAATTAATTGTTACCTAAGTAACAAAAATTGGGCTAAGTATTCTAATGTATTTAGTAAGCTAGAAAGTAGTATAAATAAACTAATCACATATATTTATGCAAAATACACATCTTACATATGTATGAATGCTACATTGTCACATTTATTTATAAAATATTTTGTGTTATTGTTGAAAACAGAGTAAATTCAGCCTATTTTAAAATTATGCTGTTCTCTATGTGTAATTATTTTGCATCTAACACTTCCTGATGAGATGCATTAGACAGATTTGAGAATGTAATAAATTTAAAAGATGTACTAGATGAAAAGGGTRTATGTATTTTATGATTGCTGGTACATATTCTTGAATTACTCTGAAAGTCTTTTTTATCAATCTTTATTGATACCAGGTGGTATTGGATGTAAAATTATTTTGGGGTTTACTAAAAATTTTTATAACTCAGATAATAACTGACAATAGTCTGATATATTTTCTGTCTTCTTTTTGTTTCTGTTTTACTTACTTTCTCTTTTCCACCTTTTCCCTATCTTCTTTTTCCTTATGAGCTTTTCCTTCCTTCCTTCTTTTTGATGTTTTATAAGAAAATGGGATTCATTAATGTTTAAACATTTTGTAAAACTAACAATGCAGAAGTTGGGGCTGGGGTTGGGGCTCAGCGGTAGAAAGCTCGTCTAGTACATGCAAGGCCCTGGGTTCAATCCTCAGCACAACATAAAAATAAATAAATAAATATATTATGTCCACCTGAAAAAACCTTAAAAAATATATATATATATATTAAAAAAAGATATTATGTCCAACTATAACTAAAAAATAAATATTAAAAAAAGAATGCAGAAGTGTTTTTCAGGTTTAAAAACAATTTTTGTATATGATTTATGCAATTAGGCTGAAATTTTTCCACTTAATTACTTACTAAATCCACTTCTTCTTATACAATTAACTGTGTATTTTAGGTATTAAGTATGATGCTGAGAAGGAAGACAAATCTTTGCAGGATATTAAGCAGAAAGAACTTTCCCGAATTGAAGAAGCCCTTCAAAAAGCAGCAGAGAAAGGTATAGTAAATTTATGTTTTAGGTAATATAAATATTCCTATATATTTTAGATATATTTAATGCCCTTTAAAGAGGATGCTTTCATAAGCCTTCTTAAGCTGTAGTTCTAAAGAATCTTCTTTTAAAATTATATCTCAAGATGTTGATTATAAACTTTTAAAGAACTACATTTAAGACTGACTTTTTCTGTGTGATTTTTCTYTCTCTGCCAGTTTGTTTCTCACACTTTTCTTAACCAGTCGTTTTTACTATGCTATCAGAAGACTTTCAAATTCTATAAATTCCTGCAGTTTTGGTCAAGCCCTAAGAATTTCTTTGAGTGCATTTTTACCTGTGTTCTTGCAAGATAATGAGTTTAAGTACATTATTACAGTGAAATATGTTCAGTAGAAATTCTCTTGTCATTCTAGTTCTAGTTGTCTCTCTTGATATTGTTTGGGATATTTAAAAAAAKTTTGACTCTTTCAGTATCAATGTTTAAATATCTTACTTTAAGTTTTAATTTTTGTTTTTATTGAAAGAGATCTGATGATTTGTTGGTTTAAATTTTGATTTTGGCTTATAATGTAAGAATGATGAGAAAAAAAAGTCTGTAGAGTGATGAGTTGGACTTTGCTAAACATTCAGTTTATTTCTTACTATATTGAGATAAATTATTTTTCCTTAATTGTTAAGAAATATAGTAACCTCAATTTGCATTTCAATATTCTTTTCTAATTTCTGTGGATATAGGTCACATATTCATATTATAGTAGTCATGTGAATGATAAAAGATAACCCTGACCTTTAGATGCTTTACATTTTGACATTATTAATTAATAGTTATTGCTTAGTTGCTTCTTTTCAGACTTATTTTTCTACTTCTTTCTTGATTTTAAAAGCATGAAAGCACTATTGCACACATGTAGGGACTCAGAAAGAAGAGAAGATGATTAAAGTGTAAACAGCAGTACATGAAAGTAAAAATAAAATCCTCATGCTAATTTGCTCTAAAAAAGTATTTTTATTTATTTCACTTGCTAAACTGGAGTGTTGCTTAATATTATGGAAAAAAAATGAAAATATAACTGTGATTTCATTTTTGAAGATTTAGCTTTAACAAACTCTTTGATAGTTTTTTCCTTTCATTTCACTGGAGTGAGTTTATTTTCTTGTGAAGGCTATCATAAAGGGAAAGCTTAATTCATGGTAAAGTCAGAAGATTACTAAATGCTAGATTCTATATCTGCAATGTTAATTTTATCAAAGTAATATATTTGCACACTTAAAAATGAAATAGTTTTGCCAAAAAAATTTAGGATAAAAAATGGCAGTCCACTTTTACTACTCTTCTGACCTGCTCCTTAAAGGGAACTGTATTTTTTGCAATATTAACATTCTATCATTGTCCATTTTATTAATCTAAGGAATTATTTAGGACTTCCAAGATAATTAGTAATTAAGGAGTTTATGTCTTTGTCTCTTTTCACCACAGATTTCTTCTTCTCATAATATGGATATATCATAGTTTTTGGCCAACTATTAGATGATATTTACATTACTAGGGCATTATGATATACTATGATTATATCTTCTTTCTTATGCAGTCTTTGTTTTTTTCTTGAATTGTAAGTGCTTCCTTTTTTATTTGCTTATACACACACACACACTCACATTCACATAATTATTTGAACTGGGGATTGAATCCAGGGCATCTGGTATGCTAGACATGCGCTCTACCACTGAGCTATATCCCCAGCCCATGAGTTACCCAAACCCATCTGTTGGCTCTCTCCACCTACCCCTTTTTTTTCTTTGGAGTTTTTCCTCTGCACTGGTTGCTTTTAGGCAAACTACACAGTTTTCATCTTGGGACCGATCCTCCTTGCTTCTCTGTGTTTAATTCATTCTTTCTTGGGTCTTGGGTCTTTTTCTTTTTTCTAAAATTACTCCTTTTTTTTTTTTTCTGGAGCACATCTTATAGTTTTTAAGTAAGTATGTACTGCATATAATTTTGACAATTCTTTCAGAGCTGGATGCCTTTATRTTTTACTTTTCCACTTATGTTGTCTGGGGATACAATGCTAGGTTAAAATTTAGAATTTTTAAGGCAATATCCTCTAGTATCAATATCCTGGATAGTTTCATGCCAGTCTGCTCTACACATTGTTGGAAACACAAAAATTAGAAAATCCTTGGACTTGAGTATCAAGGACTTTACATTTTAACTGAGCAAATAAGACATAATGATAACTAGGATAAAGTGTTGAGTTCCATCAAAGAGGTGCAGGTAGAATGTTAAGAGYGTTCAGAATGAGCATACTGGGTTCAGCCAAAGAGATCAGGGCAATGCTATGAAGTTATATATCCAGCCAAATGTTAACAATATGGAAAGGAGAGTGGATAGTGAAGATGGAAAGTGTAGATCATCTGTGGAGAACAGCTGACACTTTGGGAGTTTGTTGTGGTGTGTTTGGATATAAGGTTGGAAAGCTAAGTGTAGGTAAATTTGAAGAGATTTAAATGTCCTAATGATGATGATAAAATGATACTGACATTGATAGCTGACACTTATTGAACACTTAATATTTTCCAGTCACTCTTCCAAGTGTTTTCTATGAATTAACTCATTTAATAGGTGCTGTTATTGTTTCCATTTTATGGGGGAGTATGTTGAAAGTTACATAATTTGTTCTAAATCACATAGGGAAAGAATGGCAGAGCTAGGTTTGAACCCAGTCTGGCTGTAGATCGTATATTCTCTGCAATAGTGAACTTTAGTCTGTAGCCGGGGGGGGAGTTAGTAACTTTTCTCCTTTCCCTTTTTTAGTAATATAGGGAATTGGCCACAGTGGGTATGCCTGTAATTCCAGTAGCTCCGGAGACTGAGGCAGGAGGGTGGTAAGTTCAAAGCCACCCTCAGCAACTTAGCGAGGCCCTGTCTCAAAAATAAAAAAATTTAAAAGGACTGGGGATGGAGTTGTGGCTCAGTGGTAGAGCACTTGCCTAGCATTTGCAAGACACTGGATTCGATTCTCAGCACCATATTAAAAAGTAAATAAAAAATAAAGGTATTGTGTCCATCTACAGCTAAAAATATTAAAAAAAAAAAAAAGGGCTGGGGATGTGGCCCAGTGGTTAAATGCCCCTGGGTTCAATCCCTGCTATCAAAAAAAAAAAAAAAAAAAAAAAA